CCACTCTATCTGAAGACAAATGGAAAAATGTCCTCAGTTTAAGATTTAAAAAAAAATCAGGGTATAGTGTGAAGGGAATAGCAACTGCTGATACAGACTCATTTCCTTTGACCCCAGTTCCAACTGTACGGTGTCTCTGTGACTGCAATTCTTTGTTATTTCTCTGAAGTCTTTAAATTGGATTATTGATTTGTTTGTTCTGTTTGTATTTTCTCCAGCTTTTCTGTTCTTCTTGGGAGAAATGGTTCAATATTTTAAGCAATACTAACTTGCTAACTTTATGTGATTTTGAAAGATTTATTTATATTCCAAATCCATTGAAAATTCAAATAAGTGATTAGCTGCAGTAAATGTGACCATTTAAAAGTCTGTTACAGCCCTGGCTGGTATGGTTCGGTTGGTTGGACGTCGTCTTGTACACCAGAAGGTTGCTGGTTTGATTCCCGTCTGGGCACATGCCTGGGTTCAGGCTCAATCCCCAGCGGGGGCCGTGCAGGAGGCACATCGATGTTTCTCTTTCTTCTCTTCCTTCCCTTCCTCTCTCTCTGAAGATCAGTAGAAATATTTGGAAAGAGAAATAAATAAATAAAAGTATATTACAGTTGTTTAAATAATAGCAGATGTCACCAAAATTCAGAAAATTGCAAAGCTGCTGTTGTGGTCTTCATCTTTCTTTCTGACCCTGCCTTCCATGTGCATGCTGGGTACACACGCCTTATACTCACTACAGGGTGGCTGACCCCCGCTACAGTGTGGCTGACCCTCACTACAGTGTGTCTGACCCCCGCTACAGTGTGGCTGACCCCCGCTACAGTGTGCCTGACCCCCGCTACAGTGTGCCTGACCCCCGCTACAGTGTATCTGACCCCCGCTACAGTGTGGCTGACCCTCGCTACAGTGTGGCTGACCTGCTACAGTGTCGGCTGACCCGCTAGTGTGGACCCCGTACAGTGTGGCTGACCCCCGCTACAGTGTGGCTGACCCTCGCTACAGTGTGTCTGACCCTCGCTACAGTGTGGCTGACCCTCGCTACAGTGTGTCTGACCCCCGCTACAGTGTGTCTGACCCCCGCTACAGTGTGCCTGACCCCCGCTACAGTGTATCTGACCCCCGCTACAGTGTGGCTGACCCTCGCTACAGTGTGGCTGACGCTTGCTACAGTGTGGCTGACCCCCGCTACAGTGTGGCTGACCCTCGCTACAGTGTGGCTGACCCTCGCTACAGGGTGGCTGACCCCCGCTACAGTGTGGCTGACCCCCGCTACAGTGTGGCTGACGCTCGCTACAGTGTGGCTGACCCCCGCTACAGTGTGGCTGACCCTCGCTACAGTGTGGCTGACCCTCGCTACAGTGTGGCTGACCCCCGCTACAGTGTGGCTGACCCTCGCTACAGTGTATCTGACCCCCGCTACAGTGTGGCTGACCCCCGCTACAGTGTGGCTGACCCTTGCTACAGTGTGGCTGACCCCCGCTACAGTGTGGCTGACCCTCGCTACAGTGTGTCTGACCCTCGCTACAGTGTGTCTGACCCCCGCTACAGTGTGGCTGACGCTTGCTACAGTGTGTCTGACCCCCGCTACAGTGTGGCTGACCCCCGCTACAGTGTGGCTGACCCCCGCTACAGTGTGGCTGACCCCCGCTACAGTGTGGCTGACCCTCGCTACAGTGTGGCTGACCCCCGCTACAGTGTGTCTGACCCCCGCTACAGTGTGGCTGATGCTTGCTACAGTGTGGCTGACCCTCGCTACAGTGTGGCTGACCCCGCTACAGTGTGGCTGATGCTTCGCTACAGGGTGGCTGACCCTCGCTACAGTGTGGCTGACCCCAGCTACAGTGTGGCTGACCCCCGCTACAGTGTGGCTGACCCCGCTACAGTGTGCTGACCCCGCTACAGTGTGGCTGACCCCGTACAGTGTGGCTGACCCCCGCTACAGTGTGTGACGCTTGCTACAGTGTGTCTGACCCCCGCTACAGTGTGGCTGACCCCCGCTACAGTGTGGCTGATGCTTGCTACAGTGTGGCTGACCCTCGCTACAGTGTGGCTGACCCCCGCTACAGTGTGGCTGACCCTTGCTACAGTGTGGCTGACCCCCGCTACAGTGTGGCTGACCCTCGCTACAGTGTGGCTGACCCTCACTACAGTGTGGCTGACCCCCGCTACAGTGTGCCTGACCCCCGCTACAGTGTGGCTGACCCCCGCTACAGTGTGGCTGACCCCCGCTACAGTGTGGCTGACGCTCGCTACAGTGTGGCTGACCCCCGCTACAGGGTGGCTGACCCCCGCTACAGTGTGGCTGACCCTTGCTACAGTGTGGCTGACCCCCGCTACAGTGTGGCTGACCCTCGCTACAGTGTGTCTGACCCTCGCTACAGTGTGTCTGACCCTCGCTACAGTGTGGCTGACCCCCGCTACAGTGTGGCTGACGCTTGCTACAGTGTGTCTGACCCCCGCTACAGTGTGTCTGACCCCCGCTACAGTGTGGCTGATGCTTGCTACAGTGTATCTGACCCCCGCTACAGTGTGGCTGACCCTCACTACAGTGTGGCTGACCCCCGCTACAGTGTGGCTGACCCCCGCTACAGTGTGGCTGACCCTCACTACAAGGTGGCTGACCCCCGCTACAATGAGACTTAGCCTCACAGGGAGGTTTCCTAGCATTTCCCTTTTCTCGTCTCATCACCCAACCTCATGGTATTCTTTCCACATTCCTCCTATTTTGACTTTCCTGAGCCACACCCCATTCTGTCAATACCCTGCCTGTGTCCCGGGGGACATAATGATGGGTACCCTCTGAAGGCTGGTTACTAGGGACACTCATACACTCTAAGGACCTGTTGCTTCCCTCTGCAGGGCTCCAGTTCCCACCATGGGGACCAGCACAGCCACACCCTGCAGTGCCTTCCTCACTCCCTGTGCCTCAGAGATGGATTAGGGTCACCTCCCAAACAACCAGCCTGCATCTGACTCCGTGTTCTCAGCCACTGTTGCTGGTAGCTCAGGAAAACACGCACCTGGATGCCTCATTAACATGTTTATTGAGAAACCTTTACTGTTCCTCCACCTTATAAAACTTTAATAGGAAGATCCCCAGGGAAAACACCGAGAACGTATCACCGAGAAGTGTGCGTCCGTGTCACTGCATCTCGAAGACGAGCAGCCATGCGGACGTCGCCCCATAAAGTCTTCTTTACGACGCAGGATTCCAGGTCTTCTCATCCGAGCGGGAGAGAATCGGAAACCTGTCCTGTGGCTGCTAACGAACCTCGGCGACTGAAGGGAACCTGTGAGCGGGCTCGCTTTGGTTCTTGAGCCTCTGCCGGGGTGATCAGTGAGATCATCGCCCCAGCAGGTCAGCGACACGTTCGCTGGTCATTCGGAGAAGAGCAGGAGGTGGCTGTCGAAGTGGCCACTTTAACTGGACGAGGGTCCTCTGGAAAGAAGCTCAGATATCAGAACCACTTCGTTCACAGCCCGGTGACGGCACCGAGCCACCAAAACAGCCACCACCCCGGGGGCGCAGCCCGGGGGAGAACTTTTTATGTGAAACGTGTCCGTCTTACTTGTCGATAAATAGCCCGGTTACAAGAGAAAAATGATGGGCCTTTGTTATATAGAATAAACAATATAGTCTCAGGGCTTCATTTGGTGCAAGGTTGGGGCATTTATATGCCCTTCGTAAAAGTATGTGAACTTAGTGTAGATGGAGTTTGACGTTGGGCAAAGGGAGAGATGGGTACAGCTTTTCAGAGGCCCTGGGACCAGGGTGCTGGAGTCACTGAGGACACACTTACCAAATTCCCCAGCTTTGTCTCATAAATGCGTGCTCCTCATTTAACTCCTAAGTTTTTTTATTTTATGCTTTTAATCCTCACTTGAGGATATTTTTCCATTTATCTTCAGATACAGTGGGAGGGAGAAGGGAGGAAGAGAGAGAGAGACATCAATGTGTGAAAGAGACACATGGACTGGTCACCTCCCCCACAACCCTGACCAGGGTGGGGGACAAACTGCAACGGAGGTACGTGTCCCCAACAGGAATCAAACCCATGACTCCTTGGTCTGTGGGCCGACGCTGTAACTGCTGAGCCAGACCGGCCAGGGCAAACTCTTAAGTTTTATCTTCAAGAATATTTTACTTTAAGTTCAAATGGCAAATACAAGTTGTGCACATTTCAGGTGCACCACGTGATGTTTTGATGTAGGTGTGGATTGTGAGAAGATGACCACATCCAACGACTCCGCCATGCGCCATCCCCACGGTCACAGTTCTGTGTGCGCGTGGTGGGGACGCTCCAGGCCACCTCTCCCGGCAGGGTCCCGGTCTGCAGGGTGGGAGTAGTCGTGTCCTTGACTCCGGTCACCATACTGTACATTGGTCTCCAAAATGAATTCATTCTGCCGTAGATGAAGCTCTGTACTCTGAGCAGCATCAAGAGGATGTCAGAGGTACGACTGCAGGCGGAAAGCTTTTGGAAGGGTGGTGTCCCGGTGTTGAATCCATCAGACAGGCTCCCTGCCCCGTGCGGCTTCCTCTTGCTGCCCTGACGATGACCTCCGCCGGCCGGCCGAGACCGGGAATTAGTGAGGTCAAGATCCTCAGGAGGCCCCATCCCGTCGGACGCTGGTCCACTGTACCGGAAGACAGTCGACGTCGCCTCGTCCTCCACGCCCACCAGCAGCCGCGGAGATGCCGTCCTGGTCACGATGGTGTGCATTCGTGTAGACCAGTCACAGCGTCTCTGACACGGCAGTTGGAGGACCTGGGTTGTCTCGACACGATCGCGGCATTCATAGATGCAAGCCGTGCAGAACCACTCACACGTGACCGCATTTACGGGATTGTCGAGTCACACTCCTGAGAACCAGCAAATCCAGTGCAGCAGCCAGATCCCCTCGCGCGCCCCGCCCGCTGCTGGGAGGATATAAACCCTCAGCCCAGAGCGACCGTCAAACCCAGACGCTTGCCCCTGTCCCTCCGCTGGACCCCGTCTCCCGCCAGCATGTCCCACAGCAGCTGTTCTGGAACCTTCTCCTCCCGCTCCCGTGGCAGCTGCCTGTGCTCCCCGGGCCCCTCCTGGGGCTCTTCCTACCCCAGCAACCTGGTCCTCAGCCCTGACCTGGGCTCCCCCAGGCCCTGCCAGCGGGGCTCCTCTCTCTGCAGGGGCCAGAGGACCTGCTGGGAGCCCCCCCGCTGCCGGACGTCCTGCTGTGACCCCAGCACCCCCAGGCTCTGCAGTCCCTGCTGGACGACGCCCCCGGGGGCTCTGGACTGTGGGCTCAGCAGCTGCTCCCTGGGCTGTGGGTCCCGGGACTCCAGACCCCTGGGGTACAGAGTCTGTGGGCTCCCCTCCCAGAGCTCTGGGTCCGGGTTCTACTGTCCAACCTACTCGGCCCCCAGGAGCCGCCAGTCATGGTGTTTCCGACGACGACCCTCTGGATCCGGCTGCTACTGGTGAGCCTGTGAAAGGTCCGGATTCTTTCCAGCGTTGAGGTCAAAGTCCACTCAGCACAGCCTTTGTTTTCCTGGCCCCGGTCACCACCGTCGCTTTACCCGTAACCCAGCATCACCACCTTCGACAGACCCTGCGATGCAGGATAACCCGAAACTAATTCCTACGATCTGTACTGTCGTCAAAATATACGCTGCTGAGTTTCCATCGAAGAGCAACTGAAAATGAGTTTTAATCTAATAAATGTATGTAATCCGGCTTCCAAATGTATCATTCTTCTTATTGCTACTCTGTTGCCTCCCGTTTTTGCGTTCAGGGATCTGGGAGAGTTCAGTGAAGATGGAAATGTCTTTGAAACTGGTTGTGAGCACAACAGAGTTTGACAGGTTTGAGTGAACCCTGTCCTGTTGACAATGCTCCCCAGGAGAGGTGGACGTTTTCGGGGCCACCGTGCGCATTTCTCAGTGTCAGTGCCGGAGACGGGGGGGGGGGGGGGGAGGCATGCGTTTCTGCTGACAAGTGAAAACGGGAAATCGGTACATGAACCAGACGTGCAGACGACAAGAACATGACACACGTGTGACGTGACTTTATACAGACAGAAGCTTAGCTGAGTCGCGTATCTGAGGACAGACCTCCCGCCACGCTCCTCGCTGGTCCACGTACAGGCCGCGGGCCCTGCCCCCCCACGGGGTTTCCTGTGCCCCGTCTCTGTCCCTGTGTGGGGAGATCCCCCAGGACCTCAGGCGGGAGGAGCTGAGTAAAGACGGTGGGCAACCCCCCGATGCTTCCCCAGGCTCAGCCGAGACGGGAGCCGCACACGGAGCCGCGGTGACATTACGTCCACTCGCCTCAGTCTGGGCGCCCCCTCCACCCCGCCGGAGCGGAGGTCACGAATCTGGGTGCAGACAGTTTATTTGGCAGAAACCATGGAAATTTTATCCATTGAGTAGGAAAACCTCATAAAATGCCTTTAAAATTTTTTTTATTGATTTTAGAGAGAGAGGAAGGGAGGAGAGAGATGGAAACATTGGTGAGAGAGAACATTGATCGGCTGCCTCCTGCACGCCCCCCACTGGGGACTGAACCCACAACCTGGGCACGTGCCCTGACTGGGAATCAGACCCGTGACCTCTTGGTGCAGGGTCGACGCTCCACCACGGAGCCACACCGGCCAGACAAAGGGCATATTTTGAAGTTGGTTTCAAAGTGGACATTCCTTCAGGGCCTTTTAGGGGTCCCAGACCAACTCTTGGAATTCTGCTCCCCCAGACCTGGTGACCAGGAGAACCATTTGTCCACTGGCTCCGTGTCCTGTGGGTTGAATGTTGTCTCAGGTGTGTGTTTAGGTCACCAGGGTTCACAGCCGCAGGCTCCTTCTGTGTCCACTGTGACCTCTGAGCAGCCCAAGTGGAAGGTGAAGGGAGTGACGTGTGGGGAAGAAGCCTTCTGTGCAGAGGTCACCGAGGCGGCAGGACATTGTTCTCCACGGCTGTGCCCGGGGTCACAGGCGAGAGCCTGCGGTGGAACGGAGCCGTGGGCATCAGGTACCCCCTCTTTTTCATGCTCAAACCTCCCTGGGAGAAAGACGAGCGTGATATCCCACAGACGGCTCCCGACAGGAGGGAACGCACAGTCCAGAAGGGTTTGGAACTTGCTAAAGTTTAGAAACCACAGGTCTCGTGGAATCTGCCTTTGGTTCTGGTTTCCTGAGTCCCTTTCCTTTCTTAATGTACGGAAGTCCCTGTGCAGCCGGAGTCCGGGCTCTCCCACCTCCTCGACTTTCCACGGACGTTGGGGCGCGGCTGCGGGTCCCAGGGTCTCCGCAGACCAGATCCGCCGCTGAACTCTCTGCCGAGAATGTGTGCGTCGGTTTTCGGTTCTTGTTTCCCCAAACAACACTGTGAACTAAACACCTAGGAAACTAGCGCAGGTTAGGACACCTCAGACTCCAGCTGAGTGTCCGGAGCGAGTCGTGCCTCCGTGGTGACAGATGTCAGGACGTGTTGCCATTTCACCAGGGGGCTGGGATTTGGATCGGGCGGTAGGCTGGGGTCCCTGGCCATCCTCTCTCCAACCTCTCGAGGTTTTAGGATATATTTTATGAGTGATTTTTCTTCCAAAATTATGTCCTTCAGTCCATTTCATATTCCTTACAATGTGTAATTATTTTATATAAAAATAACAAAGTTTCATGCCCTGGCCAGTTTGGCTCAGCGGTTAGAGTGTCGGCCTGAAGACCAAAGAGTTGTGGGTTCGATTCTGGTCAAGGGCACGTACCTCGGTTGCAGTTCGGTCCTTGGCCCCGGTCAGGGTCGTGTGGGAGGCAGCCCGTCAGTGTGTCTCTCTCACATCGATGTTTCTTTCTCTCTTTCTCTCTCTCTCCCTCCCACTATCTGAAGGTAAATGAAAAAATGTCCTCGGGTGAGGATTACAAAATAAATAAAATAATAATTTCTACCTCCCCACAGAACAAAGGCCACATTAGGTCATTAGTATCTTTAAAATGTGATTCTAGATGTTGTCATATGACGTTATTAAGGAGTGTAGTAAACATAAAAGATAAAGTCATTTCTTCCAGACACTGGACCATTTTCACTGTTTAAAGGAAAAAATTTTTAAATGATAAATGTAAGCTACGGGAATATCCACCCAGATGATTTATAAGAAGTTTTGAGCACAGTAAGCAAATAATCTTCACGCCAATCTGTGAGTGTCACCCAGCATTTTTATTTAAACTTACAACATGTTCTCAGGTTGTAAACCGTTAAGCAAATGTACTACGGAAAAGAAATAGGCGAGATATTTAGAAAGAAATCTGCAACATTGTATATCCGCCTACCCACAGGGAGCAGCTGAGCCTCTGCCTTCAGCCGATACACTCACTCCCTGGGGTTCAAGTCATGCTGAGTCCATTCGGTCACCGTAAAGGTCAGGTTAGCGAGCTAAGAATAGGACAGGAGAGGGTTGTGTTCAAACCTAGAAGTGGTGCGAGCCAGACGCCCAGGCCGGTCGGCGAGAAGTGACGGGCAGCTTCCGGAGGAGCAGCCGGTTGGCCAGGAACAGCTGGGTCTCCAGCTGAGAGAGCACTGACCCCCCCTTCCCCCCAGCCTACGGATTGGAAACCAGACCCACAGCCCAGAGCCCCCGGGGCGTCGTCCAGCAGGGACTGCAGAGCCTGGGGGTGCTGGGGCCACAGCAGGACGTCCGGCAGTGGGGGGGCTCCCAGCACGTCCTCTGGCCCCTGCGGAGAGAGGAGCCCCGCTGGCAGGGCCTGGGGGAGCCCAGGTCAGGGCTGAGGACCAGGCTGCTGGGGTAGGAAGAGCCCCAGGAGGGGCCCGGGGAGCGCAGGCAGCTGCCACGGGAGCAGGAGGAGAAGGTTCCAGAACAGCAGCTGTGGGACATGCTGGCGGGTCACCTCCTGGACTAGGGCCTTTATACTCCCTTCCCACTGGGTGTGTCATCCCACAGCCCATAAAACCGGCGCCAGTCCCTTCTGCTTCGGCTGCACCGAGACCACCTGGCCACACGCGGGGGGTGCGGTTGTACACCTGGGAAGGGCAGCCATGCGTGCGCCTGGGAAGCCGGGTGTCGGCGTTGAACGTTCAAGGCTGAGCCCTCTCCCGCCCCGAAGGTCACCCAGAAGGTCACGCAGAAGCGCTCTGGCGGTGCAGGGGTCCGCCCGGGAAGCCGGCTGGATTGGAAATAATCGCCGTGTGTGTCACCGTCTGTCAGAACGGCTGCCACCCGGGAGCGCAGCTGCTGACTGGTCTGTGCACGCTCGTTTCTGTTAAACAAACGCGAGCACTGACGGTGGCCTGGAAGTGTCGAGGTCGCCCGAGGGAACGGGGTCCCCAGGAGGAGCGACGGGGTAGGCAAGACCCAGGGCACTTTGTGCAATGAGATCTCGGTCTGAACTGCTTTGGTGAGATACGAGCTGAGACCCTGCCTCATTTCCTGTGCTCAAGCTTAAAATGCTATGCAGACCAACGAACGTCCATCTTAGCTCTTCTTTCTGCGTCGGCTGTGGTAGGGGTTAAGTATTATAAATTGCTTTATAAAGTGCGATTTTGGAATGCCAAAGGCTATTCATCGAAGGTGCTGAAGGAGCATTGAAACCGAGCGCAGAAACGAGAGGAAGAGCGCCCAGTGTATCTCCGTCTCTCATCCGAGGCGGGGGCCACCCCTGAGAGGGTCCCCCAGACTCTGGATGGTGTCCTCCTTCTAAGGAGGGTGTGTGAGCTCATTGCCTTGACGTCCAGGGCCGAAGGAGCCATCTCACGGAGATGCTCTCTTTGCTTTGGAGAGCAACGCACGTCACTTCGACTTGAATTGTTTTCGGGGGCTTCTGGCAAGTATCACACAATTTCTTAGGTAATGGTCCTACTTCTCCTGTTGCAGGACCTGCTGTCCTGCTCTGTGTGGCAGAGTGAGCAAGACCGATGCTGAGAAGAGACACAGAGAAGGGTTCCGGGCTGGGGCTCTGTGCTGCTTGATGTCTCCATCTGACAGAAAATCCTTCCCCAGAAAATCCTTCCCCTCGCTCTCAGCAAACGCATCTGGGCACAAGGCCTCCCTTTTGTTGAGACAAGAATGTTCACTACCCCTTAATATCTGACCTCACAGGATTATTCCACAGAAATAGATCGTATAAGGATGGCACTGAAGCAAATTCCATGTAGGTGAGCTCAGTGTTTATATGGATGTTTTGATGTTCGCTATTTTATGGACACATAAAACGGAGGTTTGGAACCTGCTAGAATATGCCTTTTGCTCTGCGTCGTGAAGAAGCCTAATAAATAGGAATTGTTTATTTTATAGGCAGGATAAACTCTGCTAACTAATAAATGATACATGATTGAAGGCCAATTTGTCTGCTTAAAAATGTCCCGGCTATCAGTCTGCAATCTGAAAGAGCATTTGGCACGGGCTCCGGCCCTCTCCAGAGCGGATCTCATGACCACAGCGCCCTCGAGGTGAGTCTCATCACCGGCAAAAGGAGAGGCTTTTATATTTTTTGCCAAGTTTCCCCTTAGAACTTCCACCCAGTGCCCTCAGCCCTTCATGGAGTGAGCCCCAGCCGATGGCCCCTGACCACCGTGTCAGTTATGGACGATGGGCGTCTTAAGGGCTTGTCCGTCCCACAGGCCGATGCGTGGAAACCACTCCCCGCCCTGCACTTGTCTGTACAGTGAGCGATGAGCTTCGGGAGAGTCTAGGGAACGCGTTTGGGACCCCAGCCCGCCAAGCAGAGTGTATGCAACTCTATCCGGGAACCACGTCGGAGGTGCCACAGGCCTGGATTCTCCACTTCACATCGTCGTTCATTCGGTGCCCGTCCCGTGGCCGTTTATAAAGGTCATTTGTGACTATCAATTCTTCAGACACTTGGCCTTTCTGTCAAGTCCACGGGGCAGATGTTTCTAATTTCTTGAATTTCTTTACCTTCTGTTAATAAAACGTCCACCCTGTGAGGAGAAAAGGCTACTTTCCGTGTGTCGTGCTCACTGTTTTGTCCTCAGTAGCATCAACACGACCAAATGTTTACTTCAAATGTATGGAGATGGGGAATTTTTGACACTTTAATTCATTGATGATGTCTATCAAGAAGCAAGTCAGCCCTGGCCAGTGTGGCTCAACAGTTGGAGTGTCGGCCCTCGGACCAAAGAGTTGCGGGTTCGACTCTGGTCAAGGGCATGGACCTCAGGTGTGGTTCATCCCTGGCCCTGGGGGGGTTGTGCAGCCCGTCGATGGGTCCCTCTCACATCGATGTTTCTCCCTCTCTCTCCCTCCTACTCTATCTGAAGATAAATAGAAAAAAAAAATATTCTAGGGTGAGGATTAAAAAAAAAAGAAGCAAATCAACTTTAGAACAATTATTCCTTCACTTAAGTAATTTTACAATGTAATTTTCAAAGCCCTCTTGTGAATAGTAGCCCCTTTAGTCTCAAGTCAAAATTTTAAATAGAACTATCTATGGCTGAACAATTCCACTTCTGGGTATATATCTGAAGACTCAGAAACACAAATTCAAAAAGATATTTGCACCCCTATGTTCATTGCAGCATTATTTACAACAGCCAAGACACAGAAGCAACCCAAGGGTCCATCAATAAACAAGTCAATAAAAAAGCTGTGGTACGCCCGGCTGGTGCGGCTCAGTGGTTGAGCATCGACCCTGCACCAAGAGGTCATCAGCTCGATTCCCAGTCAGGGCACAGGCCCAGGTTGGGGGCCAAACCCCAAGTGGGGCGCATGCAGGAGGCAGCCAATCGAAGTTTTCTCCCATCAATGTTTCTATCTCTCTCTCCCTCTCCCTTCCTCTCTAAAAGTCAATTTAAAAATTATTTTTTTAAAAAGCTGTCATACATATATGTATATACAATGGACTATTACGTAGCCACAAAAAAGAAGGAAATCTTACCATTTGCAACAGCATGGATGGACCCAGAGGACATTATGCTAAGTAAAATAGGTCAGTCAGAGAAAGACAAATACCATATGATTCCACTTGGAATCTAAAGAGCAAATTAGATAAACAAACAAAATAGATACAGACTCACAGACACAGAGAACAGATGACAGTCGCCGGAGGGGAAGGGGTGCAGGCCGGGAGAGAGGTGCAGGGGCTGAGAAGGACAGATCGTAGGGACAGAAGGGTCTCAGGGATGTGAGGTGCAGCACAGGGAATACGTCAGTAGTAGTATAATAACTAGGTGCGGTGCCAAGCGGGCGCAGGAGGTATCGGGGGGCCACTCTGTAAAGTCTATGACTGTCTAACCCTATGCTGTACACCCGAAACTCATATAAAGTATATTGGATGTAAACTTTAATTGCCAAAAATAATAATCACAATAAAATTAGAAATAAAGCCACGCACACAGAGTGGCCGGGGTGCTCTGAGAACAGAGAACCCCATGTGCTGGACACTCTCTGAGCACGCCCACCGTGAGGGTCACCCCTGGCTTCTTTCCCTTGAAGGTGCACAGACTTGGGTGATGAAACCAACACTGAGGATTTTTTTTTTCTGTTCTCGATCTGGGTTGCTAAACTGGACCGAGGTGAACGCCCCATTCAGACTACAAAGTCCTTTCAGAGCCTTAAACACAACAAAAGCTTCATTACGTCCGTTCAATAGGAGCATCCAAAGGGCAGCGACAGCACCGGGTGTTACAGGCACAATTACGGGGACGCCCCCGCCCGCCGCGGAGCCAGATGAATGCGCGCGTGTGCCCTCCCAGGCAGCGGCTTTGAAGAGCTAATGAAACTCTTTCACGAGACGTCTGTGTTCGTAAAGAAGGCCTTTGAAGGTGACTGTGCTTCCTTCTGACGGCAGCCGCGCTGAGAATCCTCGTTAACGCGGCCGCGCACCCACGGGCCAGGGTATAAAGGGTCCCCACCCGGGGCAGCACCAGGCTCCTCCTGCAGCTCCGCTGAACCCCGCTCCGCAGCATGTCCTACCACCTCAGCTCCGGGGGCCTGTCCGCCCGCTCCCTCCGGGGCTACCTGCGCCACCCCAGCTCCGCCTGCGACGCGTTCGGCCCGGGCAACGTGGTCTACTCTCCGGGCACCAGCCAGCGCGGCCCCGGCCTCTGCGGGGGCCACCAGGAGGCCTGCTACGAGCCCGCCAGCTGCCCGGCGCCCTGCTATGGCCCCAGGACCGGCACGTTCTACAGCCCCTGCCAGATGAGCCACCCGGCGGCCTGTGGCGGTTCCGGCCTGGAGCATTTTGGCTACGGAGGCAGCCGAGGCCCGTCTGCGGGCTACGGGTCCAGCTTCGGCCGCCCCAGCTCCTTCTCCTCCCGGAGCTACCAGTCGGCTTGCTACCAGCCCGCCTGCAGCTCCCGCTATTTTGGACCAACTTACTGAAGGCCCTCAGGTGTCTCGCGGGGACCTCCGCCATGCGTGGAACTGAGCGCACATCCCGACCCATCCCTGCCGTTGCTGACGGTCCGCGTCCCAGGTCCGCTGTGCCTCCTGGAAGCCCCTGGCTCGCTGCGGACAGAGGACCCTGCCTGACCTTCTCCACCCAGACGTCGGAGATGGACCGGATTCTCCCCTGTGCCGAGGCTCGGAACCACTTCCGCTGTTTCCTCCTAAGCTGTTTCTCTGACCCCCCCAGCGGTCCTTCCATGGCTGTGTTTCCAATGCATACGGTGTCTCGAATAAACGTGTCTCTCTCGGGGAAGAAGGCATTCTGTTTTTGTCCGCGTGCCCTGTGTGGTGAGGGCTGCTGGTCCTCCCTCCAGCTGCTGTCGCTTGGAAAACGTTTCTTTCTGTTTTCTTAGATCCGTGGGCTTTCTTAATAGTTTGCAGGATAGAAGCCAGGAGGTTGCGAGGAGAATTAGCTACAAGGTGAATCTGGTGTCTTAAGAGATGTGTACTCCTCACGGGCGCGTTCGTTCATCTCATTGCTCCCGAAATTGCGTGTTTAGTTCTGACGGCAGAGCAGACATTGAGCTGAAGAGAGGCTGGCATTCCCCGCGCTCACGGAGCCCGGGCACGGTTCCAGCTCGCTCTCACGTGGCACGGGCACTGGTGGGGACAAACGCGTCCGTTTCAGGCAGAAGGCAAATGACAGGGTCTTCAGATCTGCACCGGGAAAGCACATAAACGTATTCCTGACCACAGAAAAACTCAGTCACCACTTTACAGGAAAATAAACCTCGCTGATCTCAGGTGTCTGCCGAGGTCCCCGGGGAAGAGCTGCCCAGTAGGACAGGGCTGGGGAGGAAGCTGGAGAGTTCTGGGGGAGCACCCGGCCACGGTGCAGGTCTGAACTCAGTGCAGGAGGAAGGGAAGAAAGGTGGTAGCGGAGGGAGGGAGGGGGGAAGGAAGTTTGGGTTAGAATAATATTCTTCGAGAAAGTGTGGTAGGCCCCTCACTCAAGGAGTCCCCCGAGTCACAGAGGGGGCTCCAGTGCTGCCCCTGCCCAGCTGTCACTGGCCGAGGGCAGGCAGAGCATGGGCTGGGCGTGCGGCTGCAGGAGACCAGAGACGGGCAGCCGGGCGGGCAGCCAAGCCCCGTCCTGCAGGGCAGGTTGGACAGCCACGCCTTCTCTGCCCCTGAGGTCTACTCTGCTTTTAAGCCGAAATCGTAAGGCAGGGTGGAATGATCGATGGAACCGGGGGATTTCCATGAGTTGTGTTCCGCAGGCTTTATTTTACTTACTTTGATCAAGAAAATGACTCTATCAGGCCCTCTCCCGAAATCGTTGAGTGACCGTCTACAGCTGACTGTGAGAAAGAACTGAGAATAACCGGGCAATCACCTTTGATCTCCTGGTCATCACAGAATCCGTGTTCCCTCCATTCTTCATCCCTCCGCTCGGCTTCCTGCCCTGTCACCGGGCGTTCACGGGGGGGCGTTCACGGGGGGCCCGTTCGGGTTGCACACGTCTTTGCTGGGACGGGTTGTCCCGGGCACCGTGAGGTGCTCGGCCACATCCTGGCCTCTGCTCACTGGCTGCCAGTAGCCCCACCAGCAGGGGAGACAATGACTATGTCTCCAGACATGGCCACGTGCCCTCTGGTGCCAAGATTATTCCCTGTTTACAGCCATTCGTTTCTATGAGTATTGTGGACGTGAGCTGTTTGGGGACGTTCTGAACCGTGGACCCTGGACCTGCCCCCCTCTGGAGTGGGGAGGACAGTCACATTCAATATGTGTCACTTGGTGCATGAGTGAGGTGCTGCGCACAAATACACTTACACTTCAGAAGTCTAGAACAACGCGCCGACCGACTGGGCGGACGCAGTGCGCTGCGGCCATGAATGTAGCGGTGACTGGTTTACAGGTACAGTGACTGTGCTTATGATCCTGACATCATGTTTCCAACTGTGTTTGCGGTTGTAACATGGTAGCTGGGATTCTGTGTATGATCACGAGACTGGCCTGTGGAACCGCAGTGAGGTAAGAAAATGATGATGCTTTGGGACCAGCTTCTCCGGCCTCGGATATGAGTCGTCTGCCGTGACCACTCCCGCTGTTCGATCGCCGAAGACCAGGAAGCGACTGAGACAGGTTCTCTTCCTCGTGCGTTGGAATCAAGGCCGACAGACCAGCCGCCGTGTTCGGGCATCGGCAGAGCTTCCTGCCACTTGTCTGGCGGCGCTGATGGACTTGACCGTAAACCACATTTCTCTTCATTGTGAAGCTCTGAAGCTGATACCACAGGTTTTACTCTGAGTATCCCCAGCGTCTAAACTCAGTTCATCATCACGGGCTTCGTTGACTTCGAACTTCTTCAGCCGTGCCCACCCAGTATTTCAGGATAGCACACATCTGCCCAGCGAGGTGTATATTTCAAATACAAGAAGACATGTTTGTTTAAACAACTGTGTGTTGGTCGCTGTAGCCAGGGAGGCTGCGAGGTCCCGGAGCTGCGAGTTCAGGACAGACGTTCCGGGCGGGACACACAGCTGCGGGCAATCTTCTGACCACTGCAACCTTAGTTAGACGGGTCCCAGCGCGCGGAAGAGGGGATGACGGCCGGAGGGCCGTTCCCAGGAAAACTGGCGCTCAGCCTAGGACGTGGAGGACACGCATCGGGACCAGCAGAGACACTCGCGGGAAAGGCCATGGCTGGGGAACCGTGCGGACCCTGGTCTGAGGAAGGACGGGTGCCCCTCAGCTCCGCTCGGGAAAGGGGCTTGAACGTACTAGAAAGTTTACTTGGCCGTGGCCGTCATGCTGACACATTGGATCATGGCACATAAGAAACTACAGCTCACCCTGGCCGGTTAGGCTCAGTGACAGAGCGGCGGCCCACAGACCAAAGAGTCGCGGGTTCAATCACAAACCTCAGTTGCAGTTTGTCCCCAGCCCTGGTCAGGATCGTGCACGAGGCAGCCAATCAGTGTGTCCCTCTCACATCGATGTTTCTCGCCCTCCCTCCCTTCCACTCTATCTGAAGATAAATGGAAGGATGTCCTCGGGTGAGGATTGAAAGCAAAAAACTAAAAAGAAAGGAAAGGAAAGGAACTACAGATGAGTGGAAATTTCTGAGTAGTCATTTTAGAAATGTATTCTTTCACCTAAATTCAATATGCTTTTTGGAAGCAGATTTTTATTTTTATTTTTTACTTGTTTATTTATTTATTATTTACCTTTTATCTAATTAATTTATTTATTTTTGTTACAGACGTTTGTCCTTTTCCCCCCACTGATTCCCCCCTCCCAAACCCTCCCTGCCCCGTCCCCAGCTTTGTTGTCCATGTCCACTGTTCATGCACACATGCATATAAGTTCTGTGGTTTATCTCCCCCCCCACCCCCTGTTCTGGGGATTGTCAGTCTGTACCCCACTTCCATGTCTCTGGGTCTACCCTATTCCTCAGACTGTTATGTTCACTATATTCTACAAATAAGTGAGATCATGTAGTATTTGTCTTTTTCTGCTTGGCTTGTTTCACTTAGGATAATACTTTCCAGGCCCCTCCGTGTCGTCTCAAAGGATAAGAGATCTTTCTTTCTTACAGCTGCATAGTACTCCACTGTGTACATGTACCACAGCATTTTTTTTTTATCCATTCATCTTCTGATGGACACTTGGGCTGTTTCGAGATCTTAACTATTGTAAATAGTGCTGCTATGAACATGGGGGTACATATATTCTTTCTGATTGGTGTTTCAGGCTTCTTAGGGTATATTCCTAGAAGTGGGATCACTGGGTCAAATGGAAGATCAATTTTTAATTTTTTGGGTAACACCATATTGTTTTCCATAGTGGCTGCACCAGTCTGCATTCCCACCAGCAGTGCACTAGAGTCCCCTTTTCTCCACACCCTCGCCAGCATTTGTTGTTTGATGATTTGTTGGTGGCGGCCATTCTGACAGGTGTGAGGTGATACCTCATTGTTGTTTTAATTTGCATCTCTGATGATTAGTGATGTTGAGCATTTCTTCATATGTCTCTTAGCCATTTGTACATCCTATTTGGAGAGGTGTCTGTTTAGTTCCTCTGCCCATTTTTTAATTGGGTTCTTTGTCTTATTTTTCTTGTTTCTTGAGGTAGGCCTGTAGTGCTATGAACTTCCCTCTCAGAACTGCTTTTGCTGCATCTCATAGATTTTGTGTTGTTGTATGTTCATTTTCATTGGTTTCCTGGAAGTTTTTAATTTCTTCCTTGATCTCCTCGGTAACCCATTTATTGTTTAGTAACATACTATTTAGCCTCCATGTGTTCAAATGTCTTTGCATGTTCTTGTTGCAATTGATTTCTAGTTTCATGCCATTGTGATCTGAAAAGATGCTTGATATGATTTCAATCTTCTTGAACTTGTAGAGACTTAGTTTGTGTCCTAACATGTGGTCTATCTTTGAGAATGTCCCATATGCACTTGGGAAGAATGTGCGTTCGGTACTTTTGGGGTGTAATTATCTGTAGATATCTATTAAATCCATTTGGTCTAGTACTTCATTTAGAGTCTCTGTTTCCTTGCTAATTTTTTGTCTAGAGGATCTATCCAGTGATGTCAGTGGGGTGTTGAAGTCCCCTGTTATGATTGTGTTGCTGTCGATTTCTTCTTTGAAATCTTCCAGAAAATTTTTAATATATTTTGGTGCTCCTATATTGGGTGCATATATGTTTATCAAGGTTATATCTTCCTGTTGGATAGATCCTTTCAGTATTATGTAGTGGCCTTCTTTATCTCTAGTTAGGGCCTTGATTTTGAGATCTATTTTATCAGATATGAGTATTGCTACCCCAGATTTTTTTTCCTTTTCGTTTGCTTGGAAGATTTTTTTCCATCCCTTCACTTTCAACTTATGTGAGTCTTTTGTTGTGAGGTGGGTCTTTTGTAAACAACATATAGATGAGTCATGCTTTCTTATCCAATTAGCTACTCTGTGTCTTTTTATCTGAGC